GTGGCTAAAACTGTTTCTACTCTGTAACTCCGAGTCTCTGAGAGAGACCCTGTTATTAGGTACAGGTGATTCTTTCATAGAGTTCTGATGAGCACTAGATGCTGTGCAGTATTTTGGAAAAGGTGGCACATTGATTTCTTGGAATTTGTCTGGATTTGTATACTTTAATGAATGCAATGTAATCCCTCCTTCAAAGGTGTTGATATTTTGGAGTTCGGATTCTCAAAGATGCTGGCAATTACCAACTCCTATGTTCTAAACTCTCCCTTTTGCTATTGAATGTATGAATTAGAGTGGCATGTGAAAATTAAACTCCTGTATAAAGTCCGAAGCTGCGCTTGTGAAAGCAAGTAAAGAATCCCGGAAGGACCAGCCTTCTTGCTCTATCTTGTATTTCAGGGATAACTTATTTCTGGTATTTGGAGAGACTACGCTGAGTATAAGAGGTTTCTCTGAAACACAAACAGCCTCCTTGACATGCATGCTAGAGCTTGGAAGAGACACTCTAGGTTATTGATTTTAATCTATGATATATGGAAGTAGAGGGGAAAAAAAAGAACAAAACAAAAAAAACCCCAAAACACATAGTAGTGAGAAATCAGTTACTTGCTGTTGTACTCTTATGAATTGGTATAGTTATGAACGGTGTGATGTATGTTAATACTATAAAAGGATAAATTACAATAATTGATTATAGTGACATAGAAAAATCATGATCTTTAAAATCTTAAAAAAAATCCTAAGTACTATGTTGTATATTAACAAACTACCATTTTACTCTAATAAATTGGGAAACTATTCGGCACCTAGTGTTTTAAGCTAATAAAATATCTAAACAAGGACTGTTTGAAGAGCTATTAACTGAAGGTCAACTTACGGTCTAGTATACAGCCTAGCCGCATGGGAAGAATGTGAAGAGAGAGGAAAGGAGGAAGGAAGGAAGCTTCATTAACTAGGTTAACAAATTTCTGTATTTCTGATGAACTCTGTAGGAATCTCTGGAGGAACTGAGGTCTACTGGTGGGGTTCCAGCTGCTGAATCTAGACTGTAGCTCAGTGGGTTACCATCAGTCTTGATGCCAGCATCTTCACTGCTGTCTGTAAAGGTACCATGCCATACCAAAACATGCTGTAGAAAAACATGTCGTTCCCAATCTAGACCACAAAACTTCAGGAGAAATTATAAACCTGTGATCTCACTAATCTGGCCAAACCCATTTGGATTAAACTCTGAATAAATTACAGACTTTAGAGGTCTGTGCTCATCAGCATGTGTGGAGGGGCAAACAACATGTTGAGCAAAGTCTTTTTCTGCCCCTCTCCTCCCCCCTGCAACTTTCCATCCATGGCTATGCATTTTTTGTTAAAGGCAGGATTTGTTTTCAAGGACTCTGAAAACTGAAGCAGAACTGAAGTAATATAATTTACTAATGAAATTCTTTTGCACATAGTCTTGTATAAACTTTAAAACTGCAGTCACTTCTTTACACACCAACATCTTCAATCTACCCTTTAAAAATACACATCTAAAAAACATTTGTTCCAAACCTGTATATGCACAGCTATTGGATACAGTCTGGGTCTATGTTAGGAAGAAATGGTTTGCTAAGAATGTGGAAAAACTGCCATCTCAGGGGGGATTTAGAATTAAGATTGGATTTATGATAATTCTTCTAGTGGCATCTTGTGCTCTTTGAGCCAGGTCACCCTAAAGGAAAATTATCATTATGTAAAGGGCATGTAAGCTTCCAACAGATTTAGAAACTGCATTCCAGACTCCTCGCTATATGTAAAAAAACTTTCATTCCTTTCACATTTCATTTCACGTCAAATCTAGATGGAAAGTCAATGTCCTAAAACTTTCTGTAGAATCCAAACTTCAAAACTGTCTTTTTAGTTTCAGTGTTTTGGTTGCCCTGAATTGAAATGTTAATTTTAATTTAATTTAATCTGAATATTCAGAATTTGAGTCTGTCAAACTGCACCTTCTGGTATCTCTAAATTATTTCTTTATTGTCTAAACTCATTGTGTTCCTGTTCTCTCCTATGGTCTACCTAAGAATCCAGATGGTTAGAAATTTCCAGGTCTCTGACCAGGCTCTAAGGCAAAACTACACCTTCTACAATTCATCATGGTCTCCTTTGAGGTTTAGACACACATCTGGCCCACAGAGACTGGGACTCCGAGGAATTTAGTCTTTGAAATATAGCAACTGGAGTTCCTTTCCTCAGTTCCTTAAGTTTATTTTCTGTCCTCTTTTTTTTTTTTCTTTTTCTTTAGAGCCTTGTTTCTGATTTTTGATGTATCAAAGGTGCTGAAAAAATTAAAATGGTAATAAGAATGATCATATTGCAAAATATTTAGTTCCTAGATGTCCCGATTAAACAAGCTGCCAATTGTGAAACACTGCTGCCAATTCAAAATGAGCAAATGACCAGCTCAGTATAGAGACATTTGGCTGGACATTGCAATAATTTATAATTATAAATACGTACCAATCTACTCCCAGTAGCTTCATCAACCCCAGTAATCTGGAAGGCCAACTGTACTCTACAGCAGTGTTGTTTATGTTGTGTTCTTCTTGTTCCACATCAATTTTCCACTTCTGAAATAGACCACATATGCGATTATTTATAAAGTTAAAAATACAGCCAAAGCAGTCAACTGAAAAAAATGACAGGATGAAGGAGAGAAGAAAAACGTGGAAAGGAATAAGTAAAAGAGAAACTAGGTATTTGTAGTCTGAAAATCATAGAAAAGAAAATGGATTGAAAGGAAGCGATTTTGAAACACAGCAAGTGACAGAGATGAGAAAGGTATAGGTGTCTTTAATACATGAAATTTCTGTAAAAAGGGCCTGTGAAGCAATTTGTCATTGAAATGTTTTGTCCTGCAGCAAATTTCATATTTTCATATTTTCAAATTGGATAGCAATGTGCAGAGCGTCTTCTGACTTATAACCTAAAAAATCCTACCTTCTTTTTTTCAAGATTTATGATTAATTTACTTTTCAATTCTACAGAAAGTTTGATGATTGCAACACAAGTTTATTACAAAAAGATAGCTTCAAAGACCTAGACCGCATATCAACGTTATTTGTAAAGAAATTGTACATAACTGTGTAGCCTCCTCTTGCCTCTGAATGATTTGATAACAAGGTAAGGCATGAAGCATGTGTAATAGTGCCTACAGGCCCAAAACAAATTATTGTAATGGGCACAAATGCGTACTCTTGTCAAATTAAGTATTTGATTAGAAATTGACTTGGCTCCAAAAGAAGACGTGGTTTTGAAGAAGAAAAATATGCCAATAAAGTAAAACCATGTAATCCTGAAATGTCTTATGCAGGTATAGAAACAGAGCCAAAGAACAGATGTGGTTTGTGATCTGACTGTAAAAGTGAGTAACATTCCTCTTGTGTTGCAATACAGATTCCTTTAACGCTAACACTTTGCTCCAAAATCTAACATGATAACTACACAAAGTCATCATTTACTTTTTAATTATGGTTGTATCAATAAATCTTCATACAGATACTCCCCAATTCTCTCTGAATTTCATAGCAAAACTCTGTTGAATATGTGCAGTCCTCCAGGTTTACATCAAGGTAAAGAGTTATTTTAGGTGTATGATCCATGGTTGATTCAACCAAACTCTAAAAATTACATCCCTGTGGCTAGCTAATTTAATAGGTTAATTCATCAGCTTACAGTTAGTCAATACAGAATTGCAGGCCAACCTGTCATCACTGTAAGATACAGGATACTTGTAGGGCAGAAGGCCTTTGTCCAGTTGCTGACAAAAGAAAGGGCCAAGATGGTGCTTATGTTTGATCAGCTTAGCTTTTGCTTTTGTGAAGACTTTGGTTCCCTTGAACAGTTACGCTGTCTGAATTCAGAAAGATTTCCATCTTTCAGAAACACAAGATTAGGCCAAATTAGTAACTGTTAGTACTTCGTAGTTAGCCGTCTTTGCTCTCCAAAAACATATGCCTATTTTCTTTCATTTCTCACATAAAATATTTTGAGAAAGAACAACTTTTTTCATAAATGACACTTCATTATGAACATTTTTAAACATTATTGGAATTCTTTAGATTTTTTTGAAATCCTCTGCAACAGTCTCAATCATACGTTAATGAATACATTAGAAGTGTGTCATAATGTGTTATATTCAGAAGATATAGGTTGATAGATAGCAGTGTCCAGTTTATAAACAAATAGCTTGTATCATATCCAGTGCTTTGGATATCATGCATAAAACACATTACAGGAAAGCATTCATCTCTCAATAAATAAGATTTCAAAAAAGCCTAAGACATGGACTGATGTAAAGCAGAATATTTCTGCATTTGATAAATTTGATTAAAATGTGGTTTAGTTATTTGAGTAAACTTTGCCGTTTTCATCAGTATTTTGGTAAAACTGAAAAAAATGACCTCAGTTTTGCACACAAAAAAAAAGAAAGCAGAGTCATGTAGAATGCTGAAAAAAATGAAAAATGTCTTAACGTTACAATTGTATTTGTCATCAAATAACTTGTTTGCCACATTATGTACAGGCTAAAGCTACTGTTAAGAAAGACATTCAAGAATTTTAAGGACCCCGTCTCCTCAAAATAAGATGTAAAAGCAGACAATGGCTTGTGGTCAGGGAGAGTAAACATTAGAAAGGAGATTAATTAGCATGCCAAAAGAACTTTACTAAGACGAGGCGGCTACAATGGGGAAAAATCTCCAGTTGCGCAGAGCTATCAGGAGGGAGGAAAAAGGGTAAATGAAGAATCAAAGAGGACCCCCTACCTGTTCAATGAGTCGCAATGATTAGAATGATTCATGGATTTTTCAAACTGTATGATGAAGAGACATTTCTTAAGAGACACTAGTGATCTCTATAGTAAGCAAAAACAGGAGAGCTTCTTTCAGAGAGAAAATAAAAAAAAAGTTTTTCTGCTGATATGTAGCATGAATTTTTTTCATGTTACTTTTATCCTTATTCAGAAGAATGCAGACCTAACCTGCACAGAAACTGTCTGGGATGGGATTTGTACAAAACAGTTTCATTACATACTTCACCCTCTAGCTTTGTCTGTACTAGAAACACTTGCTCAGGTAAGTTACACAAGTGGATTTGCAAAACGATTCTTATAACTCCTTTCAGACCTGAAAAATTCATAATGAAATAAGGTCACCCAACAACACTATACTTTTCACATCATAGTTTCATCCACAGTATTAGCTAATTCTCTTTCCTTATCCTTATTCCTCATTTTTGCTGGAGAATGAAAATTATGTGTGGAAGACCTTCTCCAGTCATATACTTTGGAAAACAGAATCACAGAATCACAGAATGGTAGGGGTTGGAAGGGACCTCTGTGGCTCATCTAGTCCAGCCCTCCCGCCGAAGCAGGGTTACCTACAGTAGGCTGTAGAGGACCTTGTCCAGGCGGGTCTTGAATATCTCCAGAGAAGGAGACTCCACAACCTCCCTGGACAGCCTGTTCCAGTGCTCCGTCACCCTCAGAGGGAAGAAGTTCTTCCTCACGTTCAGATGGAACTTCCTGTGCTTCAGTTTCTGCCCATTGCCCCTTGTCCTGTCGCTGGGCACTACTGAAAAGAGCTTGGCCCCATCCTCCTGACACCCACCCTTCAGATATTTGTAAGTATATATTAGGTCCCCT